CTCTTAGTTGTTTCAATTTACTGTTTTCCAGGCTTTATGTGGCACCTCAATCAATGTACCAACTATAGAAGGCCGAACAATACCTATGACAATAAATGAAGTTGTAAAGCCTGGAATGAGAAGAAGAATTATAGGATATGGTTTACCATTTCCTAAAAATAATGAACAACGAGGTGACTTAATTATAGAATTTGAAGTAATTTTCCCAGATAATATAGCTCCAGCCTCAAAAGAAGTACTCAGGAGAAATCTTCCTGTATCATAAGAAACATACGTCAGTGAACTGTTCCTAATAGATACTGAACTTCAAGGACTTTCAGGCTAATGCTGTAAAAGTACAGTCTATAACTGTTGAACGTTTCTTTTGTGTGCGCAGGTAGGAAAGTGAATTATGCAGTGTTGCATGAGAATTGGAGTACAAAAGACTTGCAACCAAGTATAAGGCTAATAATACTTACTGTGTGTTGAATCTTTCTTTACAAAACACTTTATCCAGTATTCTGTGTCCATGTAATCATGGGTAAAAAGGGAACACCTCCATCTGTATTTCTAATAAAGTGCATACTTTGCAAAGCACTTTAGTTCAGATAATCCTGATTATCTGTGTGAGTTAAAACATTACAGTATTAGAATTCATTGTATGAATCTGTGTAACATTTGCAATATTTATTTTATGTATATACTCTAAGCTGCATTACCTTTTGCACAGCAGCAAGAAAGTAGTATCACTTAAAATGTTTATGAGCCCAAAGAAGAAGTGAATTTTACATTATTGTACCAGTCTGTGAATTCCTTTACTCCATTATTCTGGTGGTAAACATAGTGACCTAATAGAAAATAAAATTTGATGGCGTACTGTTTTTGGCCTAATAGATTTCCAGGTAGAAATCGTGAAAATGCATTAATGCTCTCTGGAACTTATATTTCATGAAGCGGCATACTTATAAGTATCAACTGAATAATTAGCCTAATTCAGTCAGGATTGCAAACTTTCTCACGTTTAGTATTCTTGTAAATTCTGTGAACTGTAAATTGAAACTGAAGTTTTTATGAATATGTAATTAATTATTTGAAGAAAAAGCAAGGAAACTTTATTTTTGCAAAGATGTACATATCCCAACTAGTATTCTTGACCAGTATTAAAATTAAGACAACACTACTTATCTTGTAATATGGTCAAATGGAAACATTCGTGAAATTATTTATCTTCATTTATAATAAAGCTTCATATTTTTAAGTCAAAATGTGCTAGATAACACTTCTAAGCAACAGGATGTTTAACAATTATGTAAAAAGTTAATGATGCCAAGTTTCTAAAACTAATATACTAAAATCCAAAACAGGTGCTGTAATTGATAGTGGGAAGACACACTTTAAAAATGACTCCTGAATGAATGGGATTTTTTTTTATGGGATTTAGTACAAAGGCTGTAAACTGACAAGATGTGCAACCTTAAACCAGGGCTATGGAAAGCATTTGAAAAAGGTATTTCACAAAGCAGTTTTCAAAGTATTAAAACAGTTGTCTTCTTTTCAAATCTCATATAGCTTCTTCAGAAACTTCCCAGTTGTCTGCATGCTCATACACATAACATTTTTGCTGGGACACTAGCGTGTGGAGTAAGCAAAGACTGCTTTCAAACCAGTTGCATGTGCCTTGCAAGGGACATGATTACTTTAATGCTTTGAAGCAAAATGTTATTCATGCTAAAATGTTCTGCAAAAAACCTTTTTTGAGCACCTTATAACACCCCTTTCTGAAACTAGAAAGAATCTATGAAACAATTTTTAATGATTCTAAAAATGAGAACAAGAAAACTACTACTTTTTCTTTGTCATATTGCAAATGTATTTAAATATACTTTATCATAATGTATTGCATTTCATATTTTTAAACATTAAACTATTATTTCTAATTTTTTTCCTCCAATTGTCAATTTGATGCATGAGAGCAAATGGAAAATTGTGTTTGACATTTGAAACATAACATGTAGCTACAGTACAGAAATCATAATGCACCATACCAGTGTTTGGGAATTCTGGGAGTTGGAGTCTACACATCTGCAAGCTTCCCAGGTTGAGAAACACTGCTCTATTCTGTTATTAAGGGTAAATCCCAGTGAAACCTATGGTATTAACAAGAAAGTTCAAGATTGTATATTAAATGAATGTATTTATACGTTATACTAAAATAAGACCATTTTAAAGTTTCCTGTTTTGTTGCATAAATCAGTTGTATTTACACATAATACTAGACCATAATCCATGATTTGCAAACTACAGTGGTTGTGTTCTCGCAAAAACTATTTTGTCTAGGTGTAAATTCATTAATATAGTATTAAGTAATAGTATTAAGAGACTGTGTATCAAAGTGACCATATGATAATCCCACAGTCATCATCTGATCTAAATAAAGGGTAATGTTTTGTGGAAGTAGAATTTATATGATAGGTGAATATTCTATAACAAGCTCCTGGTTTGTCCTGAATATAATGCCTACATTTTTATTTGTTGCATTTAAATCCTGTGCTTCCTCATGCCTTAATTACCTCCTTATCAGACTATTCTAACACCCTTTTCATTGGGTGGTTCTTGAAAAACCTTCAGAAGCTTCTGTTGGATTAGAATGCAGCAGGCTGAGCAGCATTGGCCACATCGTGGTGCATGCACATAACAGGACTGCCACATGAGCCTGCAAGTTCTAGGGTACAATTCAAGGTATAGTTGTCACCTTTAAAGCCCTAGATGATCTGGGATTAAGTTACTGGCAGGTCTGTCTCTCCCCAGTGGTTTCAGCCTATCTCACCAGATCTGGCAGCATGAGCATACTCTAGCAGTAGATGAGGTAATGGTGACCTGGCTTTACAAGTTTGATTAATGAAAATAAATAAATGATAAAGACATTATTAAAATGAAAAAACTATTGAACGGAAAACTGCAATGATGCAAAATAACTAGCAGAAATATGCAAATCATATGAAAAATTTTGGGAATTCTGTAAATCGTACAATTCCGGGAATGGAATGTTCCACAGAACATTGGAATATTTGATGTTTCTTTTAGACCACACCAGTCTAGCTATTGCTGGGAAGATTAATATTGTATTAAATCAAGAAAGGCTAGATCAGTATAATTCAGAAGGAAAAATAGAACCTTCCAATGTTTCCCAAAACATTTTTGGAAGGCTTTAAGAACTGTAGCCAAGGCTTTTGGGAGCATTTTTTGTTGTTGTTATGTATCACTGGTCTGCTAATTATAAATTTAGTTATATCATTCTTTATTACTGATTCAGAGAATTTCTCATTTTGCTGAAAATTAATTTTGGCCTTCAATGTTTGCTTCTGAATACTTGTTAATACGGTCAAGTTATATTGTGCAATCATTCCACCTCTTCCATAACAGATGTTTAAATAAAACCTAGAAAGATCAACTTCACTTTTGCTTCTCCTCTCCATTTTATGCATCAGAAACGGCAATTGCAAAATAACAATTCAAACTAAAAGCCTTCTGTTTGAAGAAAGTGCAAAAGAGGCACCCACAGATTTGCATTAGAAATAGTAAAATAATTTGCTTGGTTTAATACATCTCAAACATATTTCTTGAAAGTCACAGTAAAACGCATGTATAAAACTACCCTTCTGTTTTAAGCTATTACAAATATGATCGTTTTTAAGAAGGTTAAGACTTTGTTTGATTTCTATGAAATTTAATCCCCAAAGAACTGAGGAAGCAGTCATCCAAATAAATTCCTATGATTGATTTTGAAATAAAGCCGATGTAGGTGTGCTTAAATTAAAGGTAGCTGCCTATCTTTACTTCTGGGTGTAATTCAAGGTATTGGTTTGGTTCAATTCAAGGCACTTTGTCACATGGGTCTAGGGCCGTGATGGTGAACCACAGGTGGCATTCAGAGTCATTTGTGCAGGCAAGTGAGCCCCAGCCAAACTTACCTGCACTGAGCATGCGTGCGTCTCCCAGCTGATTTGAGGCAGTTTTCTCCCTCTTGGAGGCTTGAGGGAAGCCTCTGCAGCTCGGGAGGCCGAAAAACAGGCCTTCCGGAAATACCGAAAGTGCTGAAACGGGCCTGTTTTCAGCCTCCAGAGGCTTCCCTCGAGCTTCTGGGAGGGCGAAAACTGCCTCCCATGAGTTCCAAAGGCCCCCTGGAGCCTGAAAATGGGTACTTCCAGTATTTTTGGAAGGTTTGTTTTTTGGCCTCCCAAAGCTGCAGAGACTTTATCTGAGCCTCTGGGAGAGCAAAAATGGCCTCAAACGGGCGGAAAATCAGCTGGGAGGCACGCACATGCGCAATGCAGGTAATGGGGCGGGTGTGTGTGTTGCGCACGCATGCGTGGGGGCGGGGTGTATTGCATTGTGAGTGCTGGCACATGCGCGCTTTTGACACACCATAACAAAAGTTCGCCATCACTAGTTAGGGAATTTGTGAAGGGCTTACCCCATCTACTTATGCCCATCCCACTAGGTCAGGTAAGGGGCTCTGGGTGTTGTAGATCTGCATTGTAGTAGGAACTGCCATCTAGGGGAGACCCAGGAAGCATGCCAACAAACCCTAAAAATCTGGCTGTTTTCCTGGGGATGAGGGACTAATTGAGCCCAATTCTTGTGGCAAGCATGATGTCTTCCCCAGCCACTTTGCGTTTTGGTTGGCCTCGACATTTTTTAACACTGTACTTGTATTTTTTAATTATTTTTAAAAATCTTTTGTTAGTTGCCCAGAGTTGTAGTCTGAAGATGGGCGGCCACAATTAAGAAAAAAAAAAAACCCGCACCTGTGAATAAATCTTATGCCACAGGGTCTTCGCGACGACCCTCTACAGTTCAGCGGCTGACACAAACAGCACTGAAGAGGAAAAGAGAAGCTCGCGGGCGTCGGGCGCGAACTTGCTCCCGGGCCCAAGGCCCCTTTCGCCCATTGGCTGCCACCTGCTTGTCCCACCTGCCGGGCGACGGCTTAAGCGGGAAGTGCGGCGAGAGCTCGGAGTCTGAGCGGGCAGAGTTCAACCAAGTGGGAAAGAGCAGCCACGCCACCGCCACCGCCACCCCCACCAGCAGCGCACAGGTGTTTCTGGCCGCTAGTTTGCGGTGGGGGGAGAGGGCTGGGAAGATGCCTCTGGGGCTGAGGAGAAAGAAGAAAGGCAAGTCCAAGGAGACCTCCACCTTGGTGGACGGAGAGGCTCCCCCAGCTCGAGGGCGAGGCGACGACGAGGCCGAGGCCGGGGCCGGGGCCGGCGTTCGTGCCGGAGCGGTGGGTGCCGCAGCCTCGCGCGGTCCCGTCCGGTTGGTCTTCCACACGCAGCTGGCGCACGGCAGCCCCACCGGGCGCGTAGAAGGCTTTGGCAGTGTGAAGGAGCTTTACGCTAAAATCGCCGAGGCGTTCCGCATTGCCCCAGCCGAGGTACGTGGCCGCGGGTGGGGCGGAGTGTGGGGTGGAAGGTTTCCCTTCCCGCTTTCCTCCGGGGCTCACCCAGGTCTTAAATTTCCAGTCCTTCCTACTGCATTACCGTAATCCAGGGGTCCGTCAGATTTCAACTATAATCACAAAGTCAAAGTTTACCTCAAGTGGAGTTTAAATCCTGGTAATTTACGAACATCTCCATATAGATTTCTGTCTGTCGTATATGTATATGTTTTCCGTCTATTAGGGTTTTTTTGTTCCATCTTTTTAAATATAACATCTAGCACTGAAGCCTTACTAGGAGAGGGAAACAGAGTTTTTATGTTTATAGTTAGGCACAGAAGCCAGGTGCATCACTTTGGGCCAGTACCAAGAAGGTACTGGCAAGCCATTTCCAAAATGTTACCTAGCAAACTGCATGGACCTCTCCATGTGTCTGGACTCAAGGTTGATTTGAAGGCATACATATGGACACACATGCACACGCACTCCTGATATATTGAATGGAAGTACTGAAGCCTAGTTATTATGAAAATCTGAAGAATATTGTAATCTCAAAACTTAAGTAAATACAATTACGTATTAAAACACATCACAATTACCAAATGAGAAGGTACGTATGAGCTGCATCAACAACTTCTTTTCCCTCCCTTCCATCTACCTATCCTACATTGTCTCAAATTAAGTAATATATTAATTCAACTGCTCTGTGCATCTGATGAAGTGAGCTATAGTTCACAAAAGTTATTCTTTCTGTAAAGTGTATTAGTTGGAAAAGTGCTATAATAGTCCTCTTGTAGTGTTTCCTGGTGTTAATTGATAGAGTAATAAATACTTTGATTAATTTATGGTGCTGTTGAATCTGTTGCTTTTGATAAGTTGATTCATCCTGCCTAAAGCTTTGTAGCTTTGTTGTAATAGAAAGATACTCAACTGTATTATTCAATATCTGGCTGAGTGATTTGCATTTTATTTTACAGAACTGTATTCTATAATGGTTGCAAAACTTAGACACAATTGTTTCTTGAGTTATTCAGATTATTACAGTAGTTTTATATTTGTGGCTCAGAGCACTGAAAAAGAAGCAATTCTTAACACATGTAATTATATTCCTAGATACAAGTATCATTTTACCCTAGGCATTCCACTTACAATAGTATCTTATTTATTCTCATGAAGAACAATAAAGCTTTGAAAGAGAGAAGTTTCTTTATTGATAAAAATGTTCAGAAGGTATTTCACACCAGTTTGGAACATGGCATTGTTGTACCTAATTTCATGCACACAAAATGAAAATAGCCCCTTCCTTTGATATTCTTAGTAAGCTAGAGTAAAGGGAATCAATAAGTTGATGGTTAATATTTTTATGAGATGTAGATAGAACATTTTTTGAGGAAAAAACAATACCAAGCTTTGTTCTTTGAACATTCATTTGTGACAGTTGAGAGATGAAGATAAAACTGTTTGGGTTGCACTATTGGGCAGAAACATTTGTTTTGAACAGAAATCGATCCCCCCACATTCAAAATGAGAAGGATACAAGAATTTAGATGTGAATATCCACATGAATTCTTTTATGTGGTCTCAGGTACTCTCTGTCTTGTTTTCTTGGAGACATTTTATCACCTAACTGGATATAATCAATGCTAGGAAGAGTGTTTATATACACATGGCTTGGCCTGTCAGTATTGGTGGGAGCCTTCTTGCTAGTTCCTTGATTAGCTCTTCAGAGAGCTCAGAAAGGACCAAGGACCCCACAGTTCACCCTTGAGCTACAAATATTCTCTCCTACTTATTAGAGATTGACAAAAATTTTGCACTTGGTCACACATTATTTATTTTGGAGTATAAGACTGGGCTAAATCATTTTTTTAATGTTTAACATACAAATGTGCAAACATTAACATTAGCAATTCAGCTTGACTGATAGGAGGTTTTACTCCTTAAGCAAATCAAGGCAAGAAACTTTTTGATGGTATAAATGCTTGCACGTTCAAAATCGTGATAAATGGGTTTGGTTCTTGTATCAGCAGAGTGGGTACCAATGTTTGTAAAGCTTAACATAATTTGCAGACACAGAAAACCAGAATTTTCTTGGAGCGATTTATTTTATAATGAACAATGGTAGATTTTACTTTGATTGGGCCCGTCTGTGTTTATGAATGTTCTAGAGAATGTTAATACACAGTTAATCACTGGCTTTGTTGGCTGACCTAGAGACGACTAGAGGCTCTGCAGAAATGTTTTAAAATTGTTTGTTTCTATTTGTTTCTTTTTGCTTGTACATAACAAATTGATTGCTATTTACTTTCTATTACTTCTCCCCCCCCCTCAAAAAAAAAAAAGAATTAAATGGTACACTACAAAGAAAATGATGACCAATGCAAAGATCACTAAATATCTCATTGGATCATCCATTGCTGCATAATTGCTTAAATACAAAGAGCAATAGACTCAGTTAATTGTGTTCGGTGAATGGGACAACTGAGTCTCACAGTTCTTTCTAAAGGCACAAGCAAGACCAATGGAAATAGCTGGATGGTGAACACAGACTTGATTACAGCAGATAGGTAATTGAGACGACTAAGAGTATGTCACATGTAATACATGCGTGATGGGGTATGTTTTTTCAATCATATAGAAAGAGAAAAGGGATCTGAATTTCAGCAAAATAGGCACATGACATTACTGAACATTAACGTTGTGAGATTAACCTAAGCAAAAAAAAAAAAAAAAAGAGGAGGTTAGGCAAGTGCTACTATATGCCTTGTGTATATATTTCCTTTTTAATATTTAATTTAGTTTCCTGAACCAGATTGGGATAGTTCCATGTTCGGATCTGTTCAGCTACAATTTCATATCTTGGATAATTGTCATGTTGATGTTATCAGTAAAACAAAACAAGCCTCCTCTGTTTATATGTACAAACAATACAGTTCTCTTTCAAAATACTTATTCTTACCGAAGCAAGCGCTCCTTCATTGGAATCCTGAATTAAGCAAATAATCCCATTTACTTTATTCACCATCTTGTTTTAGGAATGTTGAAACATATGGCAAGGTCTAATTCCAACTTTTTCAAAGTAAAAGATGTGAAGAAATGTTAAAGCTACATTTATAGTATTAAATATGTTAGTGCAAATGACAATTGTTGCATGAATATGAGACATATTAGTCAGAATGTGCTGTACTATTTTCACTGTACACATTTGAGAATTGTTAGAGTTAGCAGAGTGATTAGGCTGGATCCATATATTGTCACCATGGATTTGCTTGGTTTTGGAATATTGTAATGTGTGAGACCAACTGACTGTGACTTAATGAACAAACCATTGCTTAGAACAGTATATGACAGGGGTGTCCAACCTTGGCAACTTTAAGACTTGTGGACTTCAACTCCCAGAATTCCTCAGCCATCTGGCTGAGGAATTCTGGGAGTTGAAGTCCATAAGTCTTAAAGTTGCCAAGGTTGGAGATCCTTGGTATATGAAGCAGATTGCACTTACTTTTTAATTCAAATACAGGATTCATTGTTTTAATGTAATGTTCTTATTTTTATTGGAAATAAATATAAATTAGAAAGATTTATGCTGTCACCTGTTTTAATTAACATGATCCTATTGGAGGCTCAGGTTGATTTATGTATGATTTATTTCATATATGATTTCATGACACATTTATAATTTTACTTCTTTTTTTAAATACAGTAGCTACATGCAACTTTTATTACTAAGGCAAAGTACAAATAACTCTGGTTTAATTCTTTACTACTATAAATGAGGATTCCTGTGTATCCTGCAGGGATCACTGCATTTACTAACATGTTACTAATTCTTTATAAAAGTAAGAGTGGATGTATTGTGGAAAACAATCTGTCTAGTTACTCAGTTCCATTAGTTAATTAAACAGTCTTGCTTTCAATTCCCTTAATACACCTGTCTTTCCTCTTCTCCTTTCTTGCTTCACCTTCTTACTTCTTCAGCCTCCAATAATTATTTTTCTGTGTTTAATATGAAGTAGTCTTGAATTTACCACAAACAATTGATGCATGTACATTTTGTTCTGTGATTTATTTGATTAGCAGTTCACTTTTGGGTTATTATGTTCAAATTACAAGTGGAAAGGTTTTATTTTTTTTAATATTTCACTCAATAAAGACCAAGCTAAGACTCTATTTTGCATCACCAGAATAACTCGGGTACTTACACTGAATGAAATAAAATAAATAAAATTTGAGACATGATTTATATTACAATAGAGGGGGGAATATAATTTGAATTAATTAGCCATTTAAAACAGTTCAGATGTAAAATATACTATCTGCTCAAGTTAGGAAGGAAGAAGACAATCTTCTGGAAGCGGTACTTTAATTACTGAATATTGTGAGCCCAGTGTAAATGATTTGTCAATGGGCTAAATGTTTTTGTGAATGGGATATTCTATTTCAGGCTTTGGAACTTCCAGCTGAATTAAGACTGCTCTGTGTATAAATATTTGCAGGATATATCACATACTTCTATTTCAGAGATATAAAGTTTCTTATTCAAATATCTTCACTTTGTATGTTCTTATTATACTATCTATAAAATAATTTGCAGTCTCATCTTAAGAACAACACTGACATTTTGAGACTAAAAGCTATGATTTATCTTACCTATGCATTGTCCAACAAACTACAACAGTTGAGTTCGTACAAAGGCAAAGCAAAACCCATAAAAATCACACTGAACCACATTTTTCTGAAATGGTATAGGGCTTCTTGCTTGAGCAGGGGTTTGGACTAAGACCTCCAAAGACCCTTCCAACTTTTTTATTCTGTTATTCCCTCACACTATAATTCAATGCAAGTGTTATGACTCAGGGTTGGCACGCAAACAACCAAAGCTTGGCGAAAGCTTGTCAGCCTTTATTCAACCACCATCCCCCCAAATCTTCACAATCAGCAATTCCCTGTCCATTCCCCAAAGTCTCTGCCCACAGGGTACATCTACAGTCCAAGGG